CTCCTCTCAGTCCTCCCGCTCCTGTTCCTTGGCTTGGACACCCAGGAGGGTGTCGTCAGTCCTCAGGACCTCCCGGACTCCCCAACACATGACCATGTTATTATGCCCCTTACACTGTCATGGTGGCAAGGTATACCTAGCCTCGGCCAGCTCTAGAGAAGCCAGGTCCCACACAGGGGCCACGGCTTGAAATCCTGGCATGGTCAGCCTGAAAGTGCTAGGCACACGTGTGCATGCCCAGGAAAGGGTGGGCTCGAGCACTGGAGGAGGGGTGCCTGACTTGGCTGGACCTCCTTGGGGTGCAGCTTGCTCTCACTCACAGGTGTGTGTGCATATGCTTTATCGGTTCAGAAAAAATAGAACAGATGTGGCATCGGGCCACGGCACAGTGCTGGAGTGCCTGTGTGTGGGGCAGGTTCCCAGCCCCAACCGCCTGGATGCAAGGCCCAGGGGCATGTGCCTGTGGTCCTGGGGACTGGGGACTGGGGACGGGGAGGCCCTGGCAGCACCCCCCCATAATATACTGTATATAGTCTTTTAAAAGTTCGTGGAAAAATACATATTCTGAAAAAAACTATGCATGGATTTCAACATTTTGGGCACCAAAATAAACTTGTTTAATTTTCTGTGAACTTTCTTTCTATTTTTCTTTTTATTTATTAAATTATTACTTTAAAGAGATTTTTGCTATAGGGTGTGTACATTTGCCAAGAGACAGACAGAGAGAAATCACCCCACAGGGTGGATGGCCACCCTGCAATCCTTTCTCCGTTCTCCTCTTGGGATTTTGGGCACGCACACATACGGTGTGAGTTTCAGGCTTCCAGGTCCAGGTCCAGGAGTCAGCCATGTGGGAGTCCTGCGACTGTTTTCCATGAACTTTCTGAAGCCTGTGTGTGTTATTTATTGGGTCGTCAGCAAGGTCATGACACATTTTTACATAGGAAACCAGAAAAAGCCATCATGACTTTGCTGAGGAACTGATCTGCGTATGTATGTGTGGCATACAACTTACCATGTGAACCATGTTAAGTGTGTGATTTGGTGCCACTAAGTACATTCACAATATTGTGAAACTGTCGTCACTATTTCCAGTACTTTCCCCCACACTTTTGCCATAGGGTGCATGTGCTTGCTGGAAAGAGACTGCCAGGGA